AGAAAGTAATTTGTATTTCCTTTTGTCTCTTCGATCGGTTTAGCTGACAACGGAAAACAGTAGAATAGTATACTACAAATCCCAGCGAATATTCAGAGAATAGAGTTTCGTGGACGCATCAAAAATATGCAAGTATTATCCGATGTCACTGTGCTCGATCGAATGTGTAAGAACGTGGTATAAAGCCTGCTAATCCTAAGGAGAGAGAAAAAAAAAAAAAAAAAAAAAAAAAAAAAAAGAAAGAAAGAAATAATCATGATCGTTACGATTTTAAATGGCCAGGAAATTTTGTAAGAAAATTATACGGATTCGTAGAAAAGAGAAGAGATTTTTAAAAAAGTGAAAAGGAAAAGTAGGAAATGAAGGTCGCTAGATGAGAGCATGCTTCGCGCGAATTAAGCCGCGAGAATTGCATAGGATAGAAAGTAATTGCCGTCCAAATAGGTTCCTTCTTTTAAATCAAAATTTGTCAAAGGAAAATGTTTTTCACGGCTATAATCGCAAACTTTTCCGGAAAATCACAGTAGAACGCCGAATAATGCTACGTGTGAAAGGAATATGACAGATTGATGGATGCCTCATGTTTGTATAAGGGGTGGTTTAGAAAAATGGAACGCTTGAGCGTTAAAAAAATTTTGAAAATATTTGAAAATATCTAAATCAATGAAAATTAAAAGTAATATTTACTTAATAAGGAGAAGTTAAAAGTCAAAAGTTTTTAATTTCTTAGTAATATTTTTAAATATTATTGATAATAAAATAATAATAATTTTGTAATTAATATTTGTGATTTATTTTATATATAAAATTATAATATTTAGTATTTTTTTTATATATATATATTAAGTAAAAGAAACAATTAAGTATTCCTTTTTTATATCCACCCTATATATTATATTAACATCTTGTTAATATTTAAATTCTTACTCGAATTTAACGATAACGACTTTTTTAGAGTGAAATGAGAATAGTTTGTATTCTTATAGAATTATTTCCATTTTATTTATATTATCGATCAAAATATGTATCCGTATAATTACGAAGAATTTTTTTAAAATTTTTAGAAATTTTGATAAATTGATTTTAATATAACCGAGTAGTATTATTCGGCATGCGTCAGATAAAATTTTTAATTTTTCGTTTATCTATAGGAAGATGAAAGAAATATTGTTTGAAACGATGAACTGCATCAGAAAGAAAAACTTGATTTTACCGTTATGCCTTTCAACAGGGAACGAGTTCGAATAAACCGACTCTGAATCCTTTCTTGCGAAGAAGAGTGTAGAAATCAAAAGAGAATTTTGGCGGGTATTAAATACAGGCACTATATGGAAAATCAGTACAAGGTTAACGATTGTGCCATTTGAAATGCCAAATATTCTCTGGTACTTTATTTTAAAATTAAAAATTTGAAGAAAAAAAAAAACGAAAAAAAAAACACAAAAAAAACCAAAAAAAAAAAAAAAAAAAAAAAAAAAAAA